ACCACAGCAGTGGCATCTGTGGCTGCAGGAGCAGCCCAGACCGCTATGATGTCTGAGTAGCGATGGCGATGGTGGTGGGGCTGAGCTCTCTGTGAAGAGCAGGCTGCGGAAGATGGGAGTTGCAGCCCTTGGAAAGGAGCTAGGGTCTTTATGAGTGTTCTCTTTTGCAGAGGGTCTCACAGACCATGCTGCCCCATCACCATCTTGCTGGAAGTCCTACAGTGTTATTTTTAAAGCAAAATTTACTTAGATTGCATTCCCTAGATTTTTTGATAATTTTAATATTTATTGCAAGTATTTCCACAATTTGTATTATTTCTCTTTATTTTTTAAATTTATGATTGGCACATGATAATAGTACATAATTATGGCTTACAATGTAATGTTTTAGACGTGTATAAATTGTGCAATGATCACATTAGGATAATTAGCTTATCACCCTGGACATCATTTCTTTGTAATGAGGCATTCCAATACTTTTCTTTTCTAGCTATTTTGAAATATACAATATACTATTGTTAAGTCTAGTTGCTCTACTATGCAATAGACCACCAGAACTTTGTCCTCCTATCTAACAGTAGTTTTATATCTGTTGACCAATCTCTCACCAATCCCCTCTTCTTTCCCCTTTTCATTCTCTGGTAACCACTATCTACTCTCTACGTCTACGAGAACAACTTTTTAGATTGCACATATGAGTAAGACCATGTATTTTTCTTTCTGTTTCTGGCTTATTTCACTTAAAACATTCCCTAGATTTTTGAACAAGGATATCTCATTCCAGTATTTGCTGAAGTGTGACTTATTTTTTTAAAAACTAAAGTGAATCTTGCCTCTATTTAGCTGGTATATAGGACTGTGAAAGCAATAGCTGGCCTACAGAACCCCAGCTTGAGTTCTAGTAGCCCTGTAGAGAAGGTATGTTGTATTGAAATAATTTTGTAGATCACAAAGAATTAGTGACTGAGTTTTTACATATATTATTTACTGTGTAAAAGAGAAGGAAAATAACTGGAAAAAATTCAACTTTTAAAATATTTAAAATAGTCTCTAAATAGTGACCTAACTCTAAAGTATAAAAGTCCAGTGTCTTTCTGGTCAGTGAAATTTAATTACTTCCTTATTAACTATAATTTAAATTTATATGTCTAATTTAGCTTGAATTTTGTGAGATCTAGATGTATTTGGTGTTGAACAGTGCATTCCAAACCTTCAGAAGCCACAGTTACAACAAAAGGATATAAATGAGGTGGTTTTCTTGGCATCATAGGATATTAAATAAAGATTTCCTCATTTTATTCATATGACTGAGAAATTTTGCAGTGGACAAAAATCCAAGAAGCTAATGGGAAAAATGAAGAGTTTTTAATTCCATGTTTCAGTAGTAAAAACAGTAATTTTTATAAATCATGTAAACTAAATTCATTACAAATAGTGGCAGTCACTTAATAGTTCTAAAAATGAAAATTGTATTTTAGACAAAATATGGAAACATCCAGCACTTAAGGTATGTTATGCAATCCTTCATTTCTATGATTAAGAATGTGCGTATGTTTCTTCAGCACAATTCAACCTTGATAGAATTGTTTTATACCAGTGAATGGTAAAGATATTTTTCTGAAATATAATGAATGTTCAAATAGTGGCTTTTTGACAGTTTCACATGATTTAAGCACCCCTGGTAATTTTGCATTACTGCATTTTTTACAGATTTTAAAGTTAATTATGTATAATATTAGCTTAGAGCATCTATATTTAAAAATAAAAGCTAAATAAAATATATGCATATACTCATTTATTTTTAAAATAGCTACAAAAGTTTCTCTTTTTTTGGTAAAAATGCCTACTGCAGACTATCCTATACTGTACAGTAGCTTTTAATTTAAAACAATTATAAGAAAGAAGTACATTAGCATATGTAGTCTTAATTGTACTGATATCACCAACATTGTATCTTTCAGACTTTTCAGATGAATGCATTTTATAAAAATCTTGGGAATTCATTTTCCTTTGGTTCGATAAAATAATGCCTGACCTTAGAATTGCAATTTACTTAATTTCTTTAAAAAAACTTCGAAAAGGAGTATTTTATAATCTTAAACAAACACCTAAATGGCAAATGAAATATACACTGCATTTTTAAAATAGAAAAACATAGTGCTGTAGTAATATGTGTTCACCATGATAGTGAGGAACTGCAGTAGATGGCTTCATTACTACTTCTGCGCAGCAGCTCACTGCAGCTGTGACTTAGTGATGTGATTTCTTCATAGGTCAGATAGGAAGCACCAATCCTACGACCACATGAGTAGGCAAAACTTCTCATATGCATCCAGTCACTACATTCAGTCAGAAAAATGGATATGCACTACTCTTCACTTTTGTGGGTACTATTAAGGTCACAGCTACTACACACACACACACACACACACACACACACACACGTTTAAATGCAAAATTTTTGCAATATTAATGCAAAAATGCTTAAAACAAAAGTAAAAATAATAAACTTAGATACTTCATTTTCTCTACGCTACTATCATGGTAATCCTTGTAACCCTTAATTTTGAAAAACTTCTAAATATTTAAATATAGGCCCTTATCTAAGTATGTTATTTGCATCGCTAAGTGCTTTGGGGGGAGCAATGAATACACTCCTAGAGGAGTATTAGTGTAGTGGTTAGAATCATGTGCCTGGAATCAAATAACCTATATTTGAGTCACAGCCCCCCAAATATATATACATATTATATATATTATATGTATTACATATTATATTAAGGTCACAGCTACTACATATGACTTCCCTGCTGTTTTGATCATTGGATATGTTCATAACTTCCACAAGTAACAAGTTTGGGTTTCTTTTTGCTTTACCCTAGGCAAATTGAAACTTACTTATATTTTAAAATTGGATATAGAGAATAATTAAAAGACATTGAAAGTTCTGGTATATCTAAAAAAGTCTTTTACTACACAACTCAAAACAAGAAAATATTTTATTTTACGTAAAAGCAACTTATTAGTAAAACCTTATAAAACCATGTTTAGATTTATGGTTTTAGGAACAATACCATAAGTTGCAAATGTTTCTGTCATGTAAATGTATTATGAATTACTGTGGTTGTACATGTCATTCATATGTGTGTGTGTTAAGGTGAGCAGCGCTCTGAAAAGCAGCACTCTTCATTTTGTTATTTGTATTCCTCAGTAATATATGTAATATAGTATGCTTTATGGGAATCAAATAAATCAAAGTAAAAATCAAATCTTAAAACCTAATGTCATATTAGCACATTTTACATGGACAATGAAACTCCACCTTCATTTGATTTTAAAGTAAATCACTTCAGTATAGTTTAATTTTTTTCTATTCTAAAGAAGCATCTTTAGTTCTATCAAATGTCTTGACAAAGTATACCTAAAATATTGAAGGACAGTTATCTGAGCAATACCGAAATTAAAGTTCAGTGTCTTAGGACATTATGTTATAGCAGATGTTGTTCTCAATGCCTGTCTTGTCTAAGTACAAATTGGCAAATAAAAATATTTACATCTTGACTGAGAACATAGAACACACATTTCCCCCATTCATCAGCCAAATGATGGAGCCATCCAAAAATATTTCCTTATTAAGCTATCACTAGCAATTTGTAGGATAGTTTTTAAGCCATCATACTTTCAAAAATGCTAAACAAAACACGAAATAATAAACCTAGATACTATTTTCTCTAGGCTACTATCATAAAAATCATTGTAACCCTTAATTTTGAAAAACTTATGAATACTTAAATATAGGCCTGAGATAAAAATAGCCCTCATCAATATTTGTTATTTTCATCACTAAGTGCTTTGCAGGTAGCAATGAATACACTTGTAGAAGAGTATTAGTGTAGTAGTTAGGAGCATGGACCTAGAATCAAACTTCTGAGGTTTGAGTCCTGGCCCCCTACTTATTAGCAGTGCAACCAGCAGGCTAAATTACTTCACCTCTTTGGCCTGGTCTCCTCATAATGTTTTTTTTTGTTTTTGTTTTTTTTTTGAGTTGGAGTCTCACTCGGTTGCCCAGACTGGAGTGCAGTGGCCGCTCCCGGCCACCGCAGCCTGCTGGGCTCCGGCGATCCTTCCGCCTCAGCCTTCCAAGGAGCTGGAACTACAGGCGTGCGCTACCACGCCCGGCTAATTTTTTTTTATTTATTGTAGAGATGAGGTCTTGCCTGCCCAGGCGGGTCTCGAACCCGTGGCCTCAGGCAATCCACTCACCTCAGCCTCCCAAAGGCGCGGGATTACAGGCTGAACACCGAGCCCGGCGTCCTCATAATGTTTTGAGTATTAAACAAGTTACCGCTAAGTTACTTTGTGGTATGCATTCAGTAATGTTAGATATTGATTTCAAGTTATTCAGTTTTGTTTCCTTTTGGTTCAAAACTTACATTTAAAAAAGACTCCATATCAACTTCTAGTTGGCTGTTAATTAATTCTTATGTATATATAGTATAATCTCTGGTTTTTACATATATGAGTATGACCTATATTATACACATGTATAAACTTCATTACATATGGTTTATATGCAAGTATGTATATAAACATGGATTTGTAAGAGAGAAATATGAAAAACAAAAACATTTGAGGCCAATACATCATATAGTAAAATAAATTCCAATAAATGGAAAAACCTTATTCTTAGATCCAAACTTTCATGATGATAAAAGAATACATTTACCCTTTTAAAAGATTTTCACTTTTAATGATAGTTGGAGCTTGGACTGTTTGCTTTGCTGTTTCTGTTGGTGTAGTATTTCCTCCAATATGTATTCTTTATAGTACATTCATAAAGCAATCCTGTTATGAAGGACAGTCTTCCTGAAAACTTGATACTGTATCAGTTCATATAGCTTGAAGGTTTCTTGCTTTCTGGCTCAAAGTTTTGTAACATCAGTTTTATGAGGTAGCCGATCAACAACTTGCTAGAAAATAAAAGTCAAAGGCTTGTTTTCTTAAGCATAAGTCATCTTCCCAAGATAGTTAGCTGGCACATATCCCTTCTGTCCTTGAGCTTCAGCTAACCACCATTCTTTATTGCCACTTCGGTCACAAAATCTAAGTATATGGACTCTCTGATACTCCTGAAGGCTGAGTTCATGGTCACTCCGTGCTTGAAAAGCATGAACGGCATAGAAAATCTAGACAAAGAAGCAAATGACATTATTGGAACTGGCACCTAAATATTCAGAGAAACTTAAAAGATTTACAAGCTTTTAGAAGCAATGCTAAAGTGTTCTTATTTTTTTCAAAGTCACATTGTCCAACTACTTCTATTGGATCTATTTGCTAAAATATAGATAAGAATATATATAGGTAAGAATGAAGTGAAGTGGAATTCTTACTATTCTGTTGGGAGAATTCTGACCTGTAAATGCTTGAAGGTAATTTGGCAGTTACTATTAGAAGTTTTTTTTAAATGGTACTTCTTTTGAATATAAATAATAGTTCTAAGAATATCTTCTGCAGAAACAGAAACACTGACAGAGAGTTGTGCACGATGATTTTGCTGCAATGCTCACGTGAAAGTGAAAAGTGGGAGCAGAGTAGGCATAACACTAAAGGTTCAGGAAGAGGAGAGGAGTTAAATTCTAGACCCTCATGCTCAGGAAATTCATAGTCATTAAAAATGATGTTTTCAGAGACTAATAATTTGGGAAATGCTTGTGATGAAATAGTAAGCCTAAGAAAAGATATAAAATTAGATGTGCAATATAAGTCTAATATTGCTAGATTTTGTTTCTTTGGTGGAATTATAGCTGATTTTCATTTTTACTTCTTTGTTTCATTCTTTATTTCCCAAATCTTTTAAGGACAATGAGTTAAATTTCTAATTTTAAAAATTATTTTAAGTGACCTAGAATAAATTAATAAAACAGATTTAAGTGTAAAGAATTTTTCTCTGAAGTCAAACTAATGCTTCATATCATTAGATGCTTATGAAGCCCCCAATAAGTATTTAGTTCTTTCAAGAAAATCATAAGACCAATAATAAAAAGGTTTAATTATGATATAAAATTTAAAAATTGGCTAACGTTTATTCGTTCATTTAATAAACATTTTTGAAGTACCTACTAAGTGCCAGGTATTATCTCCTTAAGGACCTTAGAACTCACCTAGGAAAATAAAAAAAATCAACAAACAAAACACACCAAAAAGCAAAAACAAAAAGAACAGCTCTACACATAGATGACACATCAGCTAATTGTGAGCTGGATTTTGAAAGAAATAATGTTTCATAAATGACAAAGTTGACAAAGTAGGTGACTACATCATATTTAAAGGCACAGTGATGAATGCATGAAAACAACAAATAGCAAACGGCAAGCAGACTGTCTCTCAAAATTGAGGATCAATGCATAAAGGAAATTGAGAAATAAAGTGACTTCATTGAGCAGGAAAAGGGACTGGGCAGTGGGAGGAGGGGACTACAGGTCCGAGCTTAAGTTGTCATTTAAATCTTAAACTGTTATTTAACTTTTGATAAAATTCCAGTTCCATTGATTGGCATATCAACTTGTCAACCAATAGGAGCTACAAGAAAAGGAACCACATTCCTGTGGTCTGAATGTTTGTGTCCCTCCAAAATCCATGTGTTGAAAGCCTAATTCTCAAGGTGATGATTTGGAGAGGTAGGGCCTTTGGGCAGTGTTTGGGCACCATTATAAACAGGATTCATTTCTTTATAAAAGAGGCCCCAAGAGACCCTTTACCACTTTCAGCATGTAAGAACCCAGCTAGAAGGTGCTACCTTGAACCAGAAATGTGACTCTCATTAGACACCGTATAAGCCAGTACCTTGGTCTTGGACTTCCAGCCTCCACAACGGTGAGAAATAAATTTGTTTTTTGTAAGTCAATCAGTTTATGGTACTTACTTATGGCAGTACAAATAGACTAAGACAGACACATTTAAACTTTTTTTCTATTTGCCACTTCATGATACACAGTAGCAATTCAAATATGTATTTATTTGACTTGAAAGTTAGACTGAAGGGCATGGATAATATATGAGATCATCTTGTATCATATAAGATACATACAAGAGAGATTGTTGGATATTATTGCATAATTTTTTAAAGCAAAAAAATAAAAAAAGGTACTATAGACTTTGTGGCAGCAATAATAACCACCTTTTATAGAGCTCGTGACAGATTGCATGTCAAATGTGTTTTGTCCTCAACAACCTTGTGAGTTGTGACTTGGAGAAGAAACATACTCTTAATCATAGAGCTTATTGGGTCTGCTTGGTCCTATATTATCTATCTTCTAACCAAATCCAGTGCTTGGCCCATTTCTCATAATGCTTTAGGGACAAAACTCTTGTTCTAGCAAGTATGTGCAGAGTGTATTCTTGTGGAAAGGGACTAGAGTCTTTAATATGCTGCTAATGCTGTTGTTTTGTTGTTGTTTAGAAAGTGAAAACATTGAATAGGTCCGCAAGAGCAGAATGGAGAATTTGGTTTGCAAAAGCATTCAGGAATGTGATATACTATAATACATCTGAAAAAAATCTGTAAGAGCCTGCATTGACAGTTGCTGACCATCTTTTGTAATTTTTTAATAAATAATAGGTAAATCTTTACCAATGCAGCTATAGATTACCTACTAATATGCAATCCCTAAATATCTGTGGTAGTATTTCACTTTAGCACAATTCTCTCAAGAAGAATATAAATTCTTCCATCTAAATCTGTTTGGCATAACGTTAGATTATGGTTTATATTTTAAACATTAAGTAAAGATTTTCATGAAATTGCAAACTTAAGGTACATAATTAAACATATACTTTAAATACTTTAGATGATCATGGTCTAAAGTTTATTTAGGATGAACATTTTTCAGTTTTTATATTATTTATGTTAAATGGATGCATATATTATATACTCAAAATGGGAATACATCTCCTTTTAAAGAGGCAGCAGTCTCTTTATCATTAGGGTTTTTTTTAAGTCTCTTTTTTAGTATTTTTGGAAATGGTCTCTTGCTGTGTCTCAAACCCTAGGACTCAAGCAATCCTCCAGTATCAGACTCCCAAAGAGCTGAGATTATAGATGTGAGCCACTATGCCTTAGTCTTTTTATGCTAGACTATAAGTTATAAGCTTTTAACCTGTCATGCAATTAAGACCTGAAAGATTTATTGTTTTCAATATTTTAATTATTTTAGGCTATATCTTAAATGTTAATATATTTTAGTCTAGACATACTAATTAAATGTTGTTCATTTGAGCCATAATCAGCTAATTCTCTTCTCTTTTTCTTTGGCATTTATTAAAATATCTTTTTATAATTGCTTATTTTCATTCTATAAAGTTCTGACTCATTTTATGTGCAGTATATTCTGTGAATACAACTCAGTTCTCCACAGCTTTTCCTTTTTTTTTTATAACACTCTGTATTATTGACTCATACCTAATTTATTTCTAACTATTTATAACCACCAGATCTTTTCCTATGGTACTATTGCTACTTCAGCGTTCCCTGATTCTATATTTGTGCCCTTAACTTTTCTTGCTTTAGTAAGCATATTACCTGTCTTCACAGAATCTCATTTTATTGATTTCAACCCAGTTCTCCAATTAACAATAAAACCATAATATGTTTTAATCTTCCTTTCAAAAACTAAAAAGCTATGAGTCAGTATTTACAGTATTTCAGGAAACCAAATAGTTGTTGTATTGCATGAAAAATACTCATTCGTCTCTCTCATTCTTCAGGAGCATGTGTTCATGTTCTTCATTTAACAATTATATAT